CGTAGGGAATAGATGGAAGCCCGGAAAGGGCTCCCAGCTTTGCTGCCAGAGTTATTCACAGGGCAAAGTGGCTCCCGGGGGCAGCAAGGGGAGATCTCCACCCACCTCCAGAGACCAGGGGACGGCCCTGAGAGGGCACCCAGGCTGCCAGAGAACTGCAGACTACAAGGGTTGGAAGGGACCTCAGGAGGTCACATCCAATCCAACCCCATGCTCAAAGCAGCACCAGCCCCAGCTACATCATCCCAGCCAAGGCTTTGTCTAGCCGGGTTTATGGATGGAGACTCCACCACCTCTCTGGGGAGCCTTTTCCAGTGCTACACCACCCTCCTCATGAGAAAATGTTTCCTAATATCCAACCTCAACTTCCCTTGCTGCAGCTTGAGCCCATTGCTCCCTGTCCTGCCATCTGCCCCCACTGAGACCAGCCCAGCTCCATCCTCTTTGCAGCCCCCCTGCTACTCTATATCTCCCTCCCCCTCGGTCTTCTCTTCGGCAGACTCAGTAAGCCCAGATCCTTCAGCCTCTCCTCACAAGCCATGCGTCCCAGCCCCCAAACCAGATTCTGGACTCTTTCCAATTTCCCCACATCCTTTCTGCAGTGGGGGGCCCACAGCTGGACACAGGACTCTAGATGTGGCCTTCCCAGTGCAGAATAGAGGGGAAGAATCACTGCCCTCCATCTGCTGGCATCACTCCTACCAATGCAGCCCCGGATGCCGGTAGCCTTCTTGGCAGCAAGGGCACGGGCCAGCTGCAGGGAGGACATGCGCGTGCTGCTCTCTGGCTCCAGACCTGGAGGCAGGGCACAGCCCTATCCCCTGCCCCACCACACAGACAGGCATGAGCATCAGGGGTCTCGAAGCCGGTAGGGTGGGCACAGGCAAAGAGGAGCCCGACCCAGAGCAGGGCACGGCCTTTGCCCTGCATCTGCTGCCCCTCCGCCCCAGCCCTCCCCGAGTCACCTTGGGCATGTCACTCAGCCTTTCTACAGCACGAGAGGAGCGTCATTGCAAGGCCAAAGCCAGGTCGGAGCCTAAGTGCATCCAGCACAAGGCAGCGGCCGTACCTTCCTGCAGCAGCAAATAAGCCCAGCAAAGGCTCGGCCGACTGTGCTGCTGGGAGAGGCCCTTACGGAGAGCTCGCCCGAGGCTGCCAGCTCGCAAACGTGCCGTGTTAGGCCAATCAATGACTACAGCATTATGTTGAAACCACAGGCAGAGAGAGGCAAGGAGTCTCCGTGCCAACCCAGCCGGGTCCAACTCATTTGGAAATGAGCTGCAGTCCAAAGCCACTAAATCCACTACCTGCCTTCTCCCCCTCTCTCTCTTTTTTTAATACGTTAAAAAGAGGGGGGGGAAGAAGCAAGAAATCTCGCGGCGGAGATTGATCCCGACAGCGAGCCGTGCAAAAGCAAGGACAAGCCGCCTCCTATAAGCCTGTCATTTCAAATCAGAATGCATTTCCAACCTCTGGGGACTGTTTTGATCATTAACGTAAAGGATTTTTTTCATCGCTTAACTCAATCAAATTAATCTGAAGTGAAAAACGTGGAGCTGACAAAGGAAATATTTATAAAGCCGACGCGGCAACATCAAAGGTGATTGGGCGCCCGATTCCCAAGGCTACCTAAATAGCGGAGAACACAGAAGTCCGGACAGCGCAGAGCCCGTGTGCCGTGCAAGGTTATTAGTTGTTTTAAAAAATGGAGGTCGTTTTTGCTTGCAGCTAAAGAGCCAGTTGCTTCGATTTACGGAGAGCACGGGGGCCCTGCCAGCTGAGAACAGCCCTCTGTGCTCGCTGCTCCTGGCCGCTGCAAGCAGGGGGTTCAAGCTGTTCCCTTCCCCCCAAAATGAGCCGGCCCCAGAACGCGGCCTGCTTCGACCACGGCAGACGATACGTCCCCGCGCCAGGACTTCTGCTCACGGCTTTGCAACGGGGAGAGAAGCAGCCCACTGACACAGCGGGGCAAAGTCCGGGGCAGAGGCAGGGGTGGCCGAAGATCCCTCCGTCTGCATCCACCTGCATTTCTCAGCTCCTGTTGCAATTGCCCCGAGGTGCTTGGACGTTGAGGACGACGAACGGCGCCACGCGACGGGCGAGGCGAGCTCGGCTCAGTGGCACCGTAGCTCCGTTACGCAGGCACTTGAGAGCGCGGTGCAGGGCTTCGCCGAGGCACCTGCCTGGGGAGACCCGGAGACTGCCTGCCGGGGCTGCAACATCAATGTCAAACCCACCCCGCTCGGCTCTGCTGGGCCCTGGGATCTGGTACCGGGAGGCGGACTCGCGGGGGTCAAGTCAGAGCGGTGGGGTCCCGCGAGCTTCAGCCCCCAGCAGGGACCGGGCTGTGGTCGCTGGCTGAGGATGCGGGGATGGAGCTGGGCTAGCAAAAGCAAGCTCAAGGTGGGAGGAAGTCTGAGACCCATTCCCCACATGCCATGAAGCCTGCCGGCTCAGTGGCCTTCAATACGGGGTGTGCAATGCCCACGGGTGCAACCACACGTGTTGGGCTTTTGCACTGCGAGACTGAGCATGCTGCACCCACCTGAGCCCATGGCCCAGGGGTCCATCCACAAGGCCTGTGCGGGCTCGTTCCTGGAGACCCCAGTGCAGCAGCAGAGCCCCATCCCAGGCCCCTTACCAACCCAGACCCTGCAGTGTTGGGCAGCCCCCCACGTGCCCCTTGCCGCCGTAGGGACCAGACTGCTTTGCTCCCGAAATACGGTGGCTTTGCTGTGGGGGCCGGGATTGCACCCGGCACGGACACAACCCATTCCCATGTGCACGGGCATGGAGGAGCTTTGGCTTCCCCGTCCCTTTGGGGAGTCACAGAAGCAGCACCTGCCAGGCCAGCAGTGCCCTGACCTGGCTGGGGAGAGAAGCCAAGCCATTATCGGTGGGAAGCATAAAAGCAGCATAACTGAAGCTCGAGGAACCCGAGCCAGGAGCCATCTCCGGAGGGTCCTCTCACCTTGTGACATCCTCTGCAGATGTCAGGCAGCTGCAGCCGAGGCCTCTTGGGCTGGGCCAGGCTGGCAGGGTTTACAGGTCAAACCAGAAGCACCGCAGCTTTGCAGCGGCTACCCCAGACACGCTGCAGCCGCCTGGCCCCTGGGCACTGGGGCTTTTCCCTGCTGAGCGAAGCCCCGGTAAAAACTGGCAGCACGGCTTCCAAAGCAAACCCCGGGCTCCGCTCATCAAGGGGCTTTTAAGCATGTAATTAAGACGGCTCCGGTCTATTGCGAGCCGTTAAGTGCCACGGCTCCGCGCAAACCCTTCTAGGAAGAGCCGACATTTGCCTAAATTAAAGATAAAACGCGTTTGCCGGTAATGAGCTCTGCAGAGAGCACGCCCGGGCCAGGTCCCCAGCACGCGGGCGCGGATATAATGAGGTGCCGCCGGCCGGGAGACTGCGGGGGACGGACAGCCGCCTCCCTCCCAACCCTGGAGAAGCCTGGTTGGGAGGTCGCAGAGCAGCGCCGAGGGCCCGCGCTGCAACCTCGCTGGCCTGATTAAAATGCTTTGGAGCCCGGTCAGCTCCGCACCGCATTTATCATCCGTCCACATGCCCCGAGACTGCAGCTGCAGGGACTGCCAGGGGGCCTGGTCTGCTCGAGCCCTGGGGCTGGAGTAGGGGCTGGCCACTGCTTCCAGACCCCCCGCCCCTCCATGCCCCTGCTACAGGCTGCCCTTGCTTGAAGGCCTCGGGACAGTGCAAGGAGGAGCCTGTTCCTGCAGCAAAACACCGTGGGGCTGGGGCTGCGTCTGGCCTGTTCCTGGCATGGGGAGATGGCACTTTCCCTTTAGGACCCTTTCCCCCCCACTCACTGCAGGCAGCCTTCTTTGGGCTGGTATCAGCCTGGCTTCCTACCCCTCCCAGAGCCCCCCCGGGGTCCTGAAGTCGCAGCAAAACCCCTGCAGCCGATGCCGAACGAGCCAAGTGAACAGCCTTCCTCTTACAGGCACTTTGCAGAGCTCGCTCGCTCTCTCTCTCGCCCCCTCTCTCTTTTTTTAATATATAAACAGGGCTCGGAAATGGCAAGAAGCAATTAGGCATGGAAATAGTCCTCAACGAGCAGCAGCCAGCGCCTTCACCGTGACGGAAATTGATTTTATTTGACCATTTTACGAGGGTCTGAAAATTGCTTTGCGAGCATGTGCAGCGGTAGTTAAGTGCGGATGATGCTCCTCGTTCCCCTGAATTGCTCTAAACCAGCCCAGAAAAATATGCTGGAGAACTGAGATGCTAGAAAAGGGGGGGTAGGGGGTAGAAATACATACAAACATTCACACGTGGAGATACACACACACAGATATGTAGGTCTGTATGTATGTACACACACACACACAAACCCCATTCCCCGTGTCCACAAGAGCCATACCGCCTTTGGCAGCATCCTCATCCTGCCACTTGCTACCCTACAGCAATGAAGCAATGCCCGTCCCGCACTGTGCGCCCATTCCCCTGCTAAGGGAAGGGCTTGGGGGCCACATCCGGCCTCTGCAGCATCCTGCCTTCCCCCAGACATCTCAAAGGACGTACTGACCACCGGTGCTGCGGGAAGATGTGGCCTGGCAGCCCTGCCTATCCAAGACCCTGCAGGCCCCAGGAGCCCCCAGACAGCCAGACAAGTGCTGGTGCCTCCTTGAGGGACCCTTACATGAGCACCAAGGAGGCCCTTTCCTGGCCAGAAGCCTTCCTGCCCCTCAAATCATAGGTCAGTGCTCCCTGCTCTCTTCTCCCACCCCAAAGGCTCCCACCTGCATGGCTCCTACGCCCGCCCCGACACCCCGGGGAGAAGACGGTGCAGCCGACAAGCTCCAGGAGATGAAAGGAACAGGCTGGGGATGGGAGGCAGCCAGCCCCGAAGCCCCAGCCTGCGGATTTGACAGCCTGTTTTATGGGGATGGCACCCCTCGCATCACAGCCCCGTTCCACCGTTGACCGCGCGGGCTCCCCGCCAGAGCCTGCTCCCCGCCACGCAGCCGCCGCCTCTTACCTTCTTCCCGATAAGCTTCTTGCGCAGGAACTCCCGGGCCTCGAACATGTAGGGAATGTCGTACAGAGGCCGCAGCTTCCGGTTCTTGTCCTGCAACACAAGGAAGGTGGGAGCCACGGTGAGTCCGGGGGCAGCACGGAGCTGGGGTAGCAGCCACGCGGCACGAGGAGAGACTGTCTGCCAGGGCTTCACTGCGTTTGCCCCTCTGGAGCAATCAACCCCATCACCAGCCCCGTTTCTCGTCCCCGCTGCCCTGCAAGAGGCTCTGCTGCTTCAGAGCCATGGGCACCTGGCTGCAGTGCCCCAGTCTGGGTCGTGATGGGCACCGTTCAGCCCCTCGAAGATGCACAGGCCTTGCCAATGTATGGAGCCCGGGCAGCGCCCACCAGAGCCGTGCTGCACCGCATCCCCTTGTCAGCTGAGGCCCAAGCCTGCAGCGGGGCCACGGGCTTACTGTAACCCCAGGCGTGGGGCCGCTAGGAAGCCAGTAGGCTGGACATGGTCCTGAGGGAGTTTACACAGCCGCTCTGTAACGAAGAGCTTGGCGTTTCTTTGCCCAGGCACGTGGGCATCATGGAGAAGGAGAATCCTAGAGCCGGGGGGCTGGCAGGAAGCTGCGGGGTCACATCCAGTCTGAGGCAGGATCAGCCCCATCCAAACCAGCCCAGACGAACCCTATGTCCAACCTCGGAGCCACAAGACAAAGTTGCCCCCAACACAGCCCCAGGCATCGCCCCTGCCCCTGGGATACAGGGGGGGCGCGGCTGCCACCGTCGTACTGCTGCCAGGGGGGTCATGGGTTCTGCCCAGGCCAGGCCGTGCCCCTGCTGCAGAGGAAGGCAAAACCCCCCCAGTGCGACCAGTCTGAGTAGGGGGAAATACCTTCCTGCCCCAGTGCAGTGGGGCTGAGCCTGAGTGCAGGGGCAAGACCCTCCAGCCAGGACCCTGCAGGGTGGGTGCCAGCAGGAGCATTGGCACAGCCCAGCCCCATCCCAGCCTGGGCTGCAGCAGTACCCAGCACCCCTGGGGGAGGATTAGAAACATCCTCCAAAATCCCTCCTCCTTTTGGAGCCCAGTGTATCCCCGTCTTCTGCATTGCAAACATCTCTGTGCCAGGATGCCCTGGCACACTGCCCCCCTGCCCCCTGGGCTCGTCACTCTCCTCCAAAGCCCTCAAGAGACCCAGAAAGGCCCTTTTACTCCAAAATAAGGGGGCAGGCGCATCCATGGTCTCTGCTCTGGTTGCTTAACAGTTGAGCTCGTTATGGGCCAATGATTAACAGCTACTGTGGGACACAACGCCAAGGCAAGGGAATCATAGGGCACCTTGCGGCTGCACCACCTCCCGATGCCTCCAGACCCTTCAGAATAGCAGAGCTGCCCTGGACCGGGTCAGACCCAGGTCCAGCGTGCCCAGTCTCCAGTGTCACTGGGCAGAGAGTGGAGCTGGAAGGGAGGCGACTGGGTTCAAGCAGGGTTTTCTCCCCTGCTCCTCTCTCCCTTGCAGCCTTTAAGGTCCAGGCCGGTCTGATGCAGAGGCCGTGCCCCTCGTTCCCTGTGTCTCACACTCCCCGTGCCCCTTTCCTCAAGCCCGTGTCCAGTCCCGGGTGGATCTGCCCAAGCTCTCAGCTCCCACCGCAGCTGGTGGCCACGAGCCCCCACTTTAATGCCGCATCGGGGGAAAAGAGCGGCCTGGTGTGTGTGTTCAGCTGACACCTGCTCTGTCCATGCTGACCCCTCGTCCTTGTCTGGGGAGAGATGGGCAATGATCGATCCCAAGGGCCTTTCTCTTGGCCATTTAGTATTGCAAGCCCTTCTCTTGCCCCCTCCAGCATCTCTGCCCTGCCCAGGCCTGGCCTCACGAGTCTTTCCTACTAGGAAAGACCCTCCGCAGCACTCCTCATCCTCACTGCCCTTCTCTGCACCTGCTCTAGAGAGCGTGCAGAGGATGCTTCCAGCAGAACAGGCAGCCCCGAGGCAGGTGGCAATGCCAGGGCTGGTCAGACGCAGGGGACGGAGAGGAGATCGAGGCCAAAAGCTGGGAAGCAGAAGGCAGCGAGCACTTGAGAAGCAGCAGGGCCGGGGAACACAAGAGACCACCCCCGGGCTCCGGGCGGCATGCACATGAGACAGAGTTGGCAGGTGTCAGCCGTTGCCACCGCGTTCCCGCGAGACCTCAGTCAAGTCACTGCACCTTCCAGAGCCGCCTCTGCAGCACGGCGCTGCCCTATGCCGAATGCGAGGCGGGGAGAGGCTTCGCACGCCCCGCAAGTTGGGCGAGCACCGCTGGGGGCGACACTTGGGAGCCGCTGGGAAAGGAAAGGGGGGAAGCAGCCCGGGCAGCTGCCTCGGGACTCCTGCCTCTGCAGTCAGGCCCGCGCCTGGCGCTGTCACGAGCTCTGCGCGAGAGCCTTGATGAAGGAATTGAAATGAATGGGGGCTGCGTGCGAGCGCGGAGCTTGCCAGCAGCACCCAGCCCCTAGCAACAGCCAGCTCTGCAGCAAATCCCCAGCGAGGCCGGAGCCCGTCGCTTCATCCTTCAAGGTAAAGCCCAAGTGCGGGCATCGGCCCCGAGTGGCAAGAATGGCAGGGGCCAAAGTTCAGCCCCAGAAGGGACTAGCCCCCGTCTGCTACAGCAAGGCAGGCCGCAGGAGCAGGCTTCCCCCAGGCTGTCTGAGACCAAATCCCATCTCCGAGGTAGACACCCCCTGCGCCGGCCCTTCCAAGGCTCAGACTGCGGCAGCTGGGGCAGGGGGACCCCAACACAACCACTGCCTAGATATGGTCCATCTCACCCTCTCGTGTCCCGCAGCAGCCAGAGGGTCCCTCTGGTAGAGCCCGCCCCAGAATCAGCCGCAACTAACTGCGACTGCGGTTGGTGCAAACAGGCCCCCTCCAAGGTACCTGCGCCAGGGCTCTTGGGGGGCTCCGATGCCAACGCCGAAGCAGCACAAGGCTGCTCCCGGGCTTGTCTGTGCAGGGGAGCCCTGCAGCCAGCTCACGCTAGCGTTTGAAAGCAGGGACGCCGGGCACTGCATTGCAGCATTTGCAGGGCACAAGTGCCCCGAGAAGGACTGGGCAGGGGGAAGGGGCATGACCGCCTGGCCCCAGCCCCACTCAGCCCTCTCCAGTCTCTGCGAGCGGGAGAGCTGCCCTTCAGGCCCCGAGGCCAGGATGCTGCGGGGTTAGCAGCGCAGGCAGGCGCGTCGTTCGCTGGAAGCAGGCTCGCCGCAGCCCGCTGCCAAACGCGTCCCCCAGAGTTAAAGGCAACATATTGCAGGAACACGGCTCCCTACGGCTGCTTGGCTTCCAGTCCTGGAACAGCTCGTAATACCTTCCCCTCCGCG